CTCTTCTTTTTTTTTCCCACAGCAATAAAAGTAAAATGAGTAAAAGTCTATGGAGCGGCTTCATCTGAAAGTCACGTCATCTCGTCTAAAGGGAGAAGCAGACCATTTCCCTGTCTGAGCTGTCAGTGCTGCCTGAGACGGAGATAGTGCTCTTCTGTTTGATTTATAGAATACTGCCGTGACAAATGATGACAAAAATAAACTTTTACTGCACTGAACTGCTCTTTTATTTATGAAATTTGCCCAAGTAGTGAAATCTTTTATCTGCAAGTTGTAACTGTGAGTGGAAACGAGTGATTATAGTGCAGTAATAGTAATCCAGCAAAGAAGGCCGGGTAAGCTGGAAATGGATTGAGGTAAAATAAGTACCTTGCCATGATAAATGTGAACAGTGCTCTGCTGACAGATGATCTAACAGGTGTTCATAACAACTATATAAGAGGATTTATTTATGACCAGCCACAGCCGTAGCACTGTAAATCAACCTCAGCAGCTGCACACTGCTGTGCCCGTGTCCCACACAGAAGAACTCTGCTCAGACCAGCCCCTCTGAATTCTGTTTAGAATGTTAATTACCAAATGATTTCTGGGAAAGGTTACAAATCTGAGGGAGAAAGAACGCACGGTGTAAAAAAAAAAAATCTATCTCAATCTCATCTATTTGGATGCCAACATTTAATGGAATAGACTCTGGGAAATATTTCGTGTTTCATTTTTGAGAAAAAAAAATCTTTCTTTAATGCCAATGCCTAATTAGAGGCAAGGCTCAGCTGTGTGCGTCCCGCTTCTCTTGTTAGCAAGTAACTACATACTGAAGAAGTCCAACGATATTTCTGTGTCCGAAATACCAGTACTATAAACAGCACTTAATTGTCCAATCTTCTTACCGAGTGGTTTTTCAAATCGGAGACCCACAGCAAACAGACGAGCCTAAGACAGATTCAAGCAGGAGCAAACACTTGCAAGCACTGGTCTCAGATTTACTGCCAAAAATAACGTACAGTTCATGTCATCACAGAGCAATGTAAAAATGAACAAATGGGACAGAGAGATATACTATAAAGCAGGTATGTAGCCCATATTACCTTATGTTAGTCTTTTATTTTTAGTTTATTTCCATTGCATCTAGTATAAAACTTAAATCCTCGATTCTATGTTCACAGAATCAGTCACATTACTATAATTGGGATTAGTTTATCTGTTTACTGTATTTGGTTAACCCTTCTTTCCCCCAATGGTAAAAAGGACATTTTGAACCGATTTTCATTTGCAGTATTCATGAACGGAAAACCATTTGTCGAATAAATACGCCTCATGTCTCCTCTCCGGTAAAGAATTTCTATGAAAATTATTTAACGAACTGCCATTTGTCATGTTGGATCAGGAAGCCCAATGTTAAAGTCCCCAGCATTTAAATTATGAATCATGTGGCTTTTTTGTTTTGTTTTTCAATGGTAACACCAAACAAAACACTATGCTTTCATGGCAACCCAAGGGTACAAAAATGAAATTCAGAAGGTCTTTTCCAGAAGCTTTTGAAGTACCTGCATACATCCTTTAGTCACCCCTTCCATGGAACACTGTTGGTAACGTTTTAAGTTTTCCCTTCAATGAAAAGTAGAGGAAACAGATGATTGTACTCATAAACATTAGTGTACCACTAAAACAAACTGGTATTATGCTTTCATCCCCGCATTCCTTTAGGAAACAATGTCTGAAGGTTTCCAAGCAGCACAGCAGATATGAATACAGAACCAGAGGTGTCACAATTGTGATAAATGGGCGCACAGTAACATCTTCACTTCTGACCGCAGCAATTTTGAATAAACAGTGCATTAAAATGGAGATCTATCTATAGTCCTTCTGCGTTTGTAAAATAAATGTGTACCGGCTTGTAACAACACATAGGAATTCTGTGACTGGATGAGTAATTGGCCGCCAGAGGATTCTTGCAGATCGCCGTGGTTTTCTGTTTCAGCTCATATTTGTTTTTTCTCACTGATAGAAGTTAAAAACACTGTATGTTGACCTTCCCCAAATAAATCCAACTATTGTTCTTTGGCAAAACACTGCTGTACATTCTCCTTCCTCATTCAAGAGAAAGATATATTAATGAAAACAACACAAAAGCTCTGCATGCACGTATAAGGCTGTGGATATTATAAACAGCTCTCTTTTTTTTTCTTTGAACATTTTCTTAAGGAACAGTCAAGCAGTCGCACAAATGGTTTTTTATCACAACTGCAGCTACCTGATATTATTATGAAAGCAAGTCGTTTTAAAAATTCTTTCCGCGCTTCAAAAGCAATAATTATCAGCAACTGACTAGATTCTGAAATACCACACTTGCTGTGCAACCTGGGTAAGGTGCTTGCAGCCTTTGGAATTATTTTTACAAACTTCAAGTTTTTGTCACAAGCTTGACTATGCTTAAGCCATTGCCCAAGAGTTTTTCAGAGCACATATTTTCTGAGAAGAAGGGAAAGCATTAGTAATCTCATTAAAGTGACATTCCCTGCTGTTTTGGTTGGCATAGGGGTGCGGTGGTGGTTATCATGGCTGCCTCTTGGCATTGAGGTGTTGGGTTCAATTCCTGGGGTGCAATATTCGTGGAGTTTGCGTATTCTCCCCCATGTTCATGTGGGTCTAAAGACATGCTATAGTAGGTTAATGGGCTTCTGGGAAAACCGACCCTTGTGTGTGTGCCCTTTGAGAGACTGGCATCCCATTCAGGGTATATTCTGCCAATGCCACCAAAACATCCTGGGATAGGCTCTACACCATAACCCCAAACTGGATAAACGGTTGTGGTTGTGGAAAATGAGGATGATCATACTTCTGTTCAATTTAAAGGAATCTGGGTTGTGGGACCTAGCATATCTAAGAGATAGGGGGAAGGGTAATATAAGTCTGGAAGTCCTCAGACTCCCTTCAAGACAGCTGGCCTTAACTTAGGTCCTGCTACAATCAGCGAATAGAGCCCCATGAAATGTGTGAGGATGACCAGTATTCAGTTTGTCAATGTGCTTGGTAAATGCCCAAGACATTTCTGATTCATCATATTCCTTGGTACCAAACTCGCAGCAGCTGCTACCTATTCACCTAAGGGTGAATAACCTTACACCTTCTTTAGTAGTATCAATTTAAAATTACTGCTGAGCACAAAGCGGCAGGGGATCAGGCCTGTGGCATTTGACCACACTGATTCACAAGTTACTTCTAGACCAAAGGAGAACTGCAATATCCATTGTCAAATAACCATGTCCCTAATGTCATTAGTGCCACGATTTCCCAAAGAACAGACACAAAGGTGAAAAGAAAAAGGCTTGGAGAAGCATTTCATCTGCCTGTTTGAGATTCCATTCATCAGGAAGGAAACCTTAAGAAGGTGTTAAACCCTCTATGGTTATAGTGATGGAGATTTTCTGGTTTTAGTAGAACTGCAGCTCCTAGGGTGTCAAGACAAGGCTGTGTTGATAGAGGACATGTCTGCGATACACTTCACATTGGCTTTCTAGTTACATGATTACTGGGGTGTTGTCTCTTGATTCAGGGAATTTGAATTATAATCTAAACATAATCATATATTCTGTACATGTTTGTGGAATACACACACTAGTGATAGACTGCATCATGGGGCGGTCTGCATCCCTTTAAACTTTAAATGTTCCTAAAACCCCTTTAAGATTTTTAAAGCATTTTAGCCACATTGGAAAAAATGGTAACATTCTGAAATTTTAAAAAAACATAAACATGCAAAACTAGGGACGATATGCAGGTAGATGAGAAACCTGAAGATAAAACGAACAACTTCAAAACAATTTATGAAGTTCAGCTGATTTTCTCTTTAAGACTAAACAAAATCAAGGCCATCTGAGAAGCAGACTTTACCAAAGGTTTGAAAGGTTGCCGTTAGCATCGACAATTGGTCTTTTCAAGCACACCATTAGGAGAATCTTGATTTCTTTAGCCTTTTCACAATCCACTTTCCTGAATCACCTTTTTAACGCACTGGGGATGGTTGAAATTTTGATTTATTTTCAGGAAATTACTTCGAAACATGTCATGTATTTCTACTTTCACAACTCAAATAAACCTGGAAGCTTTTTTTCAGATGAACATCACTTTTACACCAGTGTTTCTAAATGATCTTAAGAGGTATTCCAAGCACGAAGCATATAAAGCAAACACGTGCATACATCTAATGAGGTCTGTTATGTTCTCATTCCAGTGATTAACCTAGATATTTGACTAAAAATATAAACCTAGCACAGTTATGTATATAGAGATAGTAAAGGCACACAACGCAACAATGATTATTAATAGAGTATAAAATTGCTTTTGTTGTTGGTTGTACTTTAGTTCACAAAGTCAGCTGCAGCTACATAGTACATATGCATTGACTTCAACTTTCCATGTAATTTAACTTTAAAAATAATGAGGAATAGTGGCATAATCTATTTTATTTTAAAAAAGAACAATAAACGACACCCTTCTGTATTGTGATGTGTACCACCACAATAGGCTTTGCTAAGCGAAGTTCCAGGATTATAATTTTTCCACTCAAACACACTGTTTTTGTTGTCTTCTTCAGCACGTATTCCTTTGCAAATCCTCTTTTAAAGCTGGTCTCACTGTTTATCTGTCATTTTTATTCTTCTGCTGTATTTTAACGTTTTTTATTTGATTGTGTACGATTTCATACAATGAATGCATAGTAACATGCATTATTGAATATTCTATGAGATGCCCTAGATAAGGCCATCTGGTAAGAAGAATGTGATTATGATGGCAAGTGAATAAAAACATTATACTAAACAATAAAACCCAAGAATAAGTTTATAATAATAGAATATGAATTTAAAGTTGAACTTCCAGTGCACTTTTTCTAATTGAGTAGCTTTTCCAAAAAAGGCTTCACCAAGAAATTTTACCATCAATAATTCAACAGCAAATATTTTTACCTTACATCTTCAAACTAAGAATAACATACAAAATAATCGGAGCCATCAGTCACTTTATTTTACAATTGTAATAAATTGTCTTACTTAACACTTACACCATAATGAGATGGAACATTGTGTATCTTCCAACAAACATGTCCGAGCAGTTTTTGGCAATTTTAAAATAAAGAAAACTTTGTCTTCAGATGAAAGGCACTTATGTCTAAACTCAAAAGACATAAAGAAAAACTAATTAACAGTGGTACCAGTTTTCAAGGCCTTTATGAAGAAACAGGCAAGAACGTACAAAAGCACAAAGATGATAGAATGACATTTCACGACATTTCAATTTACAAGGGAGACTGGTTCCCATGTGCATTTTCATCCTGTTTTGGGAAAAACATGTGGCATAAAAGAGTTTATAAAACTATGTTTTCCCCAATGAAATCAAAACAGCCATAGTTCTGAAATCTTAATATGGTCTGAAGTGCTACAAGTGCACCCACTAGAACTACAGTAAACACTTCTAAAGGTGAAATCAAATTCAATTTGTTGTTATTCCCCTAGGTGTGTGTCTGTGTCAGTGAATATACAATAAAGAAAGCAAAAGGCACCACGCTTTGAAAAATGAATTTAACAATGAGAGCAAAACATACAGAGCTACTTCTTGTTCAGAGATAAGCTGAAGGGGAAAACATTGAAAATTGGCATGACTTTCTTTTCTAATATTTTCCTCCCACATCAACGCCAGATGGAAGGTTTAATATTATAAACGAAAGGCAGTTTTCCGTGTGCCAGACGTGGAGGTCCAGATGTAAGCGGTTACCCCTGGGAGAGTGCAGTTTTCAGCTCCCTCAGAAGCATCGAGCCAATCACAGTCTTTTCAGTGTTGATGATGAGCTGTGCTGTTGATGCTTCCTTCAGCTCCACTGTAACAAGCACCAGGGCCTCAGCGTTCACAGTTTTAGCTGCAAACCTGAAAAACACAAAATGCTGCACATCAAAACTCTCCATTAAAACAATCTCGCATGGATTCCAGAGTCAAAAACGATCTCCATCAATTACATGCTTACGTCTAAATGGAACTGGACAGAAAACTACAGTACATCTTTAGCTGTACACATGATTTGATGTCATAAACGTGGTAGTCTGTGCTCTGTCTGCATGTTTCCAAAAGAACGGCACAAAGAGTGAATGGAGATAAAACCTCATTGTTAGACTGTTTGAGTACAGCGGTCTGGCCCCCAACAGTGCAATGGGCAGCTTTGTGTGACCACAACCACACAAACACTTGGTGTATAAGGCACTGCTCCTCTGAAGATGTAGTCAGACAGCATCTGAAGAGATGTCACCCAGAAGGGGTTTAAGTTATTCAGCACAATGATTCAAGACTGCTGTAGAATTATTTATCAGTTGAGTCATATTTCAAGTTCAAAAGTATTGGTGCTTCCATATACTCAGGGAGTTTATGAATAGCATTAATGCTACACACAACTTGGAAAAATGGAAGGTCCTTTTAGCTGCAGCAGAGCATCAGCTAAAATCACGATTACTGTATCTGAGTAGTTAATTTGAGCAAAAATACAGAGGCACAGACATTGAAAAAATTAAAAACCTCTGGACCTTCATTTAATGTGCAGTATATACAAACGTACTAGGAATTTAATGTGTTTGCCCACGCAGTACTTTTATATTATACTTCCAAATTCAGTGTGGATTTGGGTGAGGTGAAGTCTGCTATGGAGATCTGGAGCTTTCAGTGTTGAGGCTACTAGCATAAACTGTTTGCCTGTGGTTTGCATTCTAGGCTTAAAACACAAGGAGAAAGACTTTTCAAAGCCACACATGCAACAGCAAATTGCACAGCGAAACAAAACATATTTTCAAATTGCAGGTTAAAGCAATGGAGGGGAGTTACATCTACAACATATTCAAATATACTTTCAGAAAAAGGCAGTTGAAAATGAATATTAGACGTTAACATCCTACCGAAACGGCATTCTAATGTCAAATTAAAATGTTTCAAAGTGCATTTCATGCCATGTTTTTTTGTAATATACAACACTGTGGACCCTACATTCTATACTTAGTCATCAGTATACGTCAGAAAGATGGTTGAAAGATTTCTGAAAGTAGATACACCTGGAAGGTATTCTTCAATTCCACTGCACCAACTACTGTATTATCACTGTGTGCTATAGCCAACACTCAAAAACAGAAAAACAATTAGATACTGCTTTCTATATTGACGGAGGAAGCATTGAAGGCTACCAAAATTCAGTTTCCGATTGTGCTCTGCACTTCCTGCCAGGAAGTTTAGGGACGCGTGTGCCTCTCCTCCTCTGGTCCCCAGGACAATAAAACAACACTAAAAATAAAGTTAGCAGCAATTATTCCTCTGAAAAGGAGGGAAAAATAATATGGTTTGAAAACAACCATCTCTACGCTCTCCCTCCCTGCCCCACACACAGCGTTGCCAAAACAACCAGATTCCAAAACACAGTAAATCCTCTAATTACACAGCATTACAAGGGGGGAAAAATGTCTATTTATTACTGCCTGTGCCTGAAAATCCATGTGGGGTGGCCTGGACTCCTGTCAATCCAGTTCATTCTTCCTAGACCCCATAGAGCAGGGTGTGTGGATGTGAAGAAGGGGTCAGAGAGTAAGACTGAGCGCTTTAAAGAGAGCGTCAAGCCCGGTCCCCTCCCAACTCCCGGAGGTATGGAGATTCTCACCGTTTTGTTCGTCGGCAACACACAGGAAAGTTGGCGCACATGGGCCTATTGAAAACACTAACAAGTGCCGAGCGGGTCTCCGACCTCCCGTGACCCCTCCTTTGCACAGCAGCCACTCCCCTCTCCCTTCTGAAAGCCACGTGTCTGAATTGGAGCCATCTGCCTCAATTTGCACAACATCTTTAGCCACAATGGGCCCCAGTTAGCCCTGACAAAGACTTACAATAGCCAATCTTAAAACACCGCTGGGCTGTCAGCACGCTGTCGGCTATTCAAGAGCAAACCAACTGGACAGTGTCTCATGTCTAACAATTAGCACAGAGCTTGCACTACGCCTCACAGGGCCCGTGGGGACCTGCTTAATTACCATCAACATAAAAGAGGGAGTTTATCACAAGATACTCCAAAAACGTCACTTCAGACTTAATTAAAATATTAGCCACTTAAGCAGGAAGCAGATTCTCTTGAAATGAGGAGTAATTTCTTTTTTTTCTTCTCTTAATTACATCAACATCTTCTAGCATATTACTCAAAGGTGCATGAAGGCACTTGTTGGGATAATTTTATGTCCGCTGCTCAAACAATTAATATGTGCAGAAGGTTATTAATAAAATAATTTTATTAAATTGTAACGGCATAAAATGTTTTCACCATCAGACAAATTGAGGAGTTTACAGTTTGCCCGTGTAGCTCCACTTCAACGAACAGCTTCAGTTTCAAGACACGTTAGAATGTTGCAGAGTACAATTTATTAACAAAAGAAGAATTAGGGAAATCCCAGTGCAGCATTTATTCAATGTATAAAGTGATTTAAAAAAAAAAACTAAAAATGAATGAAATACAATATTCAATAACAGGAATAAAATCTACTTTGGAGACCTAAAAATACAGATTCTTGGTCAAACCATCGCAGACCTTTCCTCGGCCTTTGACATGTGAAAGGATTTTGAGTTCAAACAGGTTTATTTGCACATGCCAGAATAAACTACATGCCAGAAAACTGAAACTTTAGTAAACACTTCAAAACTGGAACAAGATGTAAAACTATAATATGAAAATGTCAATATTGAAAAGTCAGGATGCAACCTGCACACGGAGGTGACTTTCTTTGCTTTGCAATGGCAGCCAGATACTAAGGTCTTGCTGCATTTCATGAACCAGGAAAAAAACTTGCATGGAGGAAAATGACTAAACATGATCTTAAAAATTCAGGGGAAAACTGAGCAGCATTTTTGGTCTTTTCACCAATTCTCTGAAGAAGAATGCTGCCTCAGCGTTGACGTACTGGTATAGTGAAATACCTTTACAATAGGGTGGAATAATCTCCTTCACTATGGGCAAGATATGCAGAATTTCAGGAGACAATCTAGCTCCCTATGTCTGACTGTCTGCAAAAGCGGGAAGTCTTTCCTAATAGACCATATACAGCAATATTCCTAACTAAGGCTAAGATACTGGCTTCATTCTAGACTACATATGTATTAGCACCACGTAGCAGCCTGACAAAAATGCAAAACCTCAAACCTATTTAATATGCCTTGGATATCTGCTACACAGAAAAAATTGAGTTCCTTGACTGGGAAGATGGGCATTATCAGAGGAGTGTTCCCTGACTTCTGATGGGCTAGAAAGTAAACGGCTTAGTAGGGAATGAAAATCCAACACCCAACTCAAAACACTAAATGATAGAATATTTGGTTATCTTACTTTTAAATAAGGATGTTCTTAGCAATATTTATTAAGCTACAAGCAGAATGACACAGGCTGGGAACACTTGCTGTGATACACATTCAATTTCTACGTATACACACAGCCATTCTTCAGCGATTTGTGTCTCAGCACAACTGATGTCCTCTACCAAGCTGTATGGCTTGTAAATTTATATCCTTAATCTATTATTTATTCTGCTATTACAGCACCCAAAGGCACTTATTTTACACAACAAAACATGACCTTGGTAGACTACAACCATATCCATGTCACACATGTACAGAGATGCGGCTGTGATTCATTGCCTTGGGGCTCTTTCCCAGCTCCTTGCTGTTTAAATAAACTGGTGGCTAATAGAGACACACTCAAAAGGCAGCCCAAAACCACACACTCGTCACACTGAATTTCAATTGAAGCCTCGAGCACACTTTTTACACATAATTTTAGACATAAATCAGCTTTATGAATGCGCTGCAATAGGGTACATTTGTAACATATCCCCCTTATGTGTACTTGCCAATGTGAGCTCTTGACAAATACCACATTAATCCCAGGTAGGGCATAATGATCAACACCTGTTCTACAAGTTTCCATTTTAAACAATTCAAAGGTAATTAAAATGAAAAATACAAGACATTATTTCAACAACGATACAGATATAAACTCAAGTTCTAACTATCATTAGGTCTCTAAATTTTATGTCTAATAAATATTAATATTTTTTTCAGTAAATAAACTTAAGCTGTTGTAAAACTAAGTACCTTATTTGAATTTTTCACAGAATGAATTAGGAACACGTTTACAGTACACTAGTCATTATCCTTCTGTTGTCCCTGTATCCATGTCCTACCAATGGTAAACCTTAAACACATCTTCCTGTAAATCTGTTTTTTAAACACTCATTCTTAAGTGAAGTACACAAGTTATTTCTAATTCATTACACCTAATTCAGGAAGACATTAATCCTCTCTTTTACTACTTTCGGAGCAAGAGTTAACTTAAAAATGTGAATTCACTCCCACCTGCTCTCGACAGGCAGACCCATCTAGGAGAGAGAGGAGATGGAGTTTGACAATCACCTCTTATTGTAGCTTTGGCATTCATAAGCATCCCTCAGCGTTCAACTAACCGAAGCATTAATTGCATTATAAGAGGCAACAAAACACCAGACTATGAGATTACACTGACAATTTATAAAACTACTTCGAATATTCCCGTTTTGTTTTTGTAACTAATTCTCATTTTCCTAATGCTTGCCATTCATTCACTGTATTTATGTCTTCTTCTAACTTTACCCATTGCTTGGTGTAATTACATATGGTTGATAGGCTATTAGCAAAACCTGAGACTACCCATAGTATCTGGACTATACAGCAGGTCTATTGTATGCATTGGCTACAATTTAGATCTTCATCTGTCACTTTTACATCATTGGTCTACTCACACAGATTCAATTCAAAAATAATATTAAATTTAGCAGTTTATCTGCTGTAAAATGTTTAAATTTTGTTTCTGGTTAGGAGCTAAT